CCAGGCTGTCTGACTATTACTTGGGCACTCGATATCCTAACAAGCACATCCCACCTAAAGTGCCTGCTGAGGTGTTCCAAGATTCTCAGCAAGCACAGGAAGCGTTCAGACTGGCCACAGAAGTTTTGGAAGTACTAGAACAGGTTGTTGGACCATAATCATTGTTGATTACTCACATTTAGTCTCTGTGACTGTATAACCCTCCAGATACTGTTAAAAATTAACTGCTTTACTTTACGCATCAGAATCTTAAAAAAATACTTAGAAAAATTTAAGCTAGCTAAATGGAAGGATACTACTAGCACTTCTTTGTCTCATCGTGCGACGTTAAATTTTGGTGGAAGTGGACTAATGTTGCTTATATGAGTCAAATATTCACCTGAAGAGAAATTGGCGTTTTATAGATAAAATTAGTCTTATCGCTAACTTTGTAGCATCCTAGCTGTTTTGTATTTCAAATTTTTTTACCAGTAATATTTTACTGCAGTGACAAGGCTCCCTTCATAAAGGGGTTCATAGGATAGCGAACAGTCAGTTTATATAAATTTGTGAGTGTTTTTTACATTTCTCGCTAGTCATCCTTCGTTTGATTTTGAGTGGTGGTGTTGCTTATAAAACGTCATGCACTGCCAACTTGAAGTTGTGTTTCTGTAAAACGAACAGATACAAAATGACCTCATAAGGTGACCTAGACCTTTGAAAGAGTTCCTAATATTTTTTAGTTTGCCGAAGTGGTTGGAACAAAGTCGTATGTTTTTGTCGTGGCAAAGAACCATAAGGTATCGTTACATTAATTTTTTTCTCGTCGTGGGAAAATCTTTACAAGTCTATATTTACTAGAGTTATATTAACGTTGAACTATCAAGAGCCTAAAAAGTGATTCTTTGTCGTTTGGAGTAATTTATAGAACTTTACAAAATTCTTATAGACCATTAAATAGAGAGAAATAGTAAATCGAGCATTAAGATTTGTTCGCTTGAAAAACTATCTCTAAGTATTCTACTAAGTTATGAGTAGTGTTTCCTTGCCTCATCATAAACTGGTGAGTATTGAGAGAATTATTCTATAAGCTTTGTTCTTTGGGAATTGGATAGAGGGGAGGGGCTCATTTAGGTTGAAGCCTAGGTTGTGTCTCTAAACGCGAATAAACTTCGCAGTCGTCCGATTTTGTTAATCACTCGTATGATTACAGACTGAATTGGACTCCACTCGGTCCTATTACCATTAAAAATAATTTTTTAAGTATTACTTGTTGTTTATCTTTGTTGAATCACAGTAAACTTCTGGTAGGCTCATAACAACCTTGCTATCACTGTTAATGGCACGATAGGATGTGTAGCCTCTAAGACAATAGCTGTCATTAGACACTCGCTCGCTGCCTCGTGTTCGTCTTGGGCTTCCAAAACCACGCCTAAAAGATGCCTGAAATGAAATGACACAGTAAGCAGACAGACACATCGTACGTAATAATACAATATCAAGGTCACAAGTGATGAGAATAGCGACAAATATCAGTAAGGGGGTTGTGAATAGATCCAATACCATATTCTGCGAACTTACACCATAAGAATTGTATGGCAGACAGTAAGGAGAATTACCAATGAGATCTACACGTTTCATTGTCATTTATTAACACTGGCAGGTCTTTGTATATAAAATGGCACAATGCAACACGGGACACGAAACAAAATAAGAGAATCACGAAAGCGTTACATAACATAACGCAACATGTCGTTGGTCAGGAATATCTGGCACTGAACAAGATCACATGACCTGTATATTATTCAGCCATATTAAAATGAATGGTGCCCTGTCAACTAATAATTCACACCGCCCAAACCAGGAATTTGAACGAAAGTTGAAAGTGATCACTCACCAAGCTTCAAATGCTGTTGGATCGATATTGATGGCTTCTCGGATAACTTTGTCAGCCATAACAAGATTACCAAGTTTGTGATACGCTGCACCCCGAAGAAACCAAATTAATCGAACAGTTTCACATATAAAGGGGGTAAGTTTGTAAAGAAACTGTGGTGCTGCGTCGGTGGGAAAGTATAACAGGGTAATTTAGTATCATCAACTGAGTCGATTACATAAATTGGCCACCGTATAAAGGTTAAAAGCTGACGTTTCGAGCGTAGGGCTAACGAAGAGCTGACACCTAAAACGTCAGCTTTGAACTCTTTACAGTGGCCAATTTACGGTATCAACCCAATTGATTATACTAAGTTACCCAGTTTCACGTGTAAACGTAGCCGCGACTGACCTTGCTGTTCACATAGCACAATCTTGAGGAGGAGGAGGAGGAGAAGGAGGAGAAGGAGGAGGAGAAACAACTGAAATTAGAAAAAAAAATCAAATTCAACTGAAATTAGCAGTCAATTTTCAATAGTCCCCCCCCTTTACACTCTGTTAGCGACGACTAATCCCCCTTTCGTGCCGCCCAAAGACCATAGGGTCCTGCCAAGACCTCCCCCCCCTAGGATAAATAACGACTGCTCTCTAATTGTGCAAATACTCCATTTATTTTTGAAGCCAATCAGGATTCGTTAGCAAGTCCAGTGTTATTTTGTACGTCTTACCAGGTGTTGAATGCTGGCCACGTGGTTTGGATTTATGGAGATCGCATTATCGAAGCAATTCTTGGCCTCCGTAAGGTTTTCTTTAAGCTCGAAAATGCGGTCACGCTGTGTAGGAAAATAAAAACAAATTGAAAACAACATCAACAAAAAACCATTTGAAGTCTGCATATGGGACTGACTCGGAACTTTCTATGCGCACATCAGCATGCTATCCCAACCGTTTTCGTTTCTGGCTTTCGCTCGATCACCGCGTTCTCAAAGCGGTCGCGTCCTCGACCTAAAGCTTCCAATTAGGTAGAGAGCATTTAACTAAAGGGAAGATGATGCGTATTAATACGACAGGATTGTGAGATCTTGGGTTATAAAGGGGTTGGGGGTGAGGCAGATCAATGTAAGGGGAAAAAAATGGTGCCATATAAAAGAGTGGCACGACGGGAGGAGCATCTAATTACTCCGTCCCCCGCCCCATTCTTCGAGAAGCTGTTTTAGATTTCCCACTACCTTTTTTCCAGTGGAAGTTGGACTAACATTTTTACTGTCATCCGCGTATTGGTGCACTGACAACACGCAAGCAAGACTCATACCTGAAACAGCACATCCGGGGAAAAAGGGAATATCAAATGCGCCTCCTGAACGCATGCGCTGGCTTCAGTGTCCTTCTCCATGGCAACATACACATCAGCTGTATCAAAACACATCGCATGTCGCCAGATTGTTACATGAAATAAATTAACCAACCACTTCCCTGAGTGACTAAATAGAGAGATGAATTAGATTAGGTGAAAAGAGTTGTCAAATGATCAAAAGAGCTAATGGTGCAGTTTTCTCAACTGATCTGGGATGGTGCTGGTCTCACTTGACTCTACACATAAATAGGACCTACCAACAGCAAGCCAGAGTTTTACTTGTAGGGCCAATACAGCTGAAACGCTGAGTCGGACGGAAGTCGAGGCAGCCTCGTCTGATAAGGCCTGTTCCAGGCGTACTGAGGCTGCTATGGAACTAGCACCATCATCTTACAAGAAACATGATGGCAATTAGTTCTTAACAGATTCTAATAGCCAGAATAACGCGGGGAATTCTAATGTTAAAAGGAACACCTACCGGAGTCTTTTTCACTGGTGAGTTCTGTGAGTGGAATCTGTTTCAAGCTTCGGGAATCTGTAATAACTTTGTCTGGCAAACCTGATCCAGCCCTTTGAAGCTCTGTGGATCTGAAAGCAGTCAGCAGTTAAGACCATTGGCCCCACTCTAAATTTTATGCAGTTTGTGAGTAAGGCACTAGATCTCAAATTATTTTACTCGTTTACGTTTAGCGTGCACAATTCCTTCTACGAACAGAGGCTGATTGACATTTCTTAAACGCCTAATGGCCTCTTCCTTTTCAATCTTGAAATGATTTCTCAAGCTTCAAGAGACTTTACGTCCCCCCCCCTACTAAACGGGATGCAAGTCGATAGCTCGTGCACAGTACACCCACCTAAGCAAATTTTTAGGGTTCCCCTGACAGTTCACAGGTATCACTAGAATTACTACTAATGTCTTAGTAAAAGCACTGGAATGGTTAGCAGCCTCTTTGAACGGCTCAAAACCTTTGCATTTCCAGTTACAAATCAGCAAGCCTGAAATAATAACTAATCTTAATTTGGTCTTCCATGTTTGGTTATCAAATCGACAAAGTAACCCACAGACTTCGAGGTGGATAAAATCCTTTCCTATCTTAGGTTTCGGCTCTTTGCTTATCCCTTATTCAAATACTTTTACCCGCAATAAGAAAATTTTTGCTTAAGAAGCAGAAACTTTCCACAGTTTTCTCTTCACACTAACCCCGATAGATCAGACTCGTACACTTGTTTCCAGGTCTCCAGCAACCGTTTGCACGTGATCAGCGCTTGCTCCCCACCTAAGCAGGCCTTTTCCAGTTTAACCTTCGTCAAAAGCAAACTGAAAACAGACAGTAGATAACATCAACCTAACAAGGGCACTGTTACTTCTCGTGGATGATACTCAAGTCTATCACAGGCCGAGAAACCCTCGGCATTTATTCAGGTCTACATGACAGTTCGCTTGCGTCTAACAATCGCGACAGCTGAGAACTGAAGTACAACACACACTTGAGGTCATCAGGGAATTCCATCAGAGCAGTATCACAGACCTCTTGTGCTTCAACAAACTACAATGAACGGCATAAATCATATTCTCCTTACTTCACCAGTACACCGATACAGAGGAAACGGTGAGTACTGACAACGCATAAAATCGATAAGGATCACTGATGAGAATTCACGTTTTTACTTCTACACAAGGCGGAGCATAAACGGGCAGCTTACCTTTTTCTGGGAAGAAAGTATAAGAGGTAAAATATGCAGAAAAAAAAGATTGATTCATGTCCATTTTAAGTGCATTTCTGATGTTCTTCAGGGCCTTTGTCATCTGGAAATGAAAGTAAAACAAAACTTTCAAGGAACTGTTCGAAACAATCCACACTTTGCAGCGCTTCATGATCCCACATCATGACACAAAAGTCAAAGGGGAACAAAACGGCTACCGAGAACACAAGAAAACGTTATCGGTGGCTGCCGAGAACTCAAAGTAAAAACGAACAACGGGAATTATTGTAACGGACCAACGAGTACTCAAAGTGTAAAGCAGGAAACAGGTTAAAGTGCGGGAAAAAGCTCTGCAACAGAACATCGATAGGGAGTCCATAAAGTGATGGTTGAGTGGGAGGTACGAATTTTTTTTCCTGATAATTCTTTTGGACAAGTTTTAGACGACAATAGATTTTCTCGAGTTCGAAAAAAAGAATTTTTTTCATGCTTCTTTGCGTGCCCCCTCACTGTTCAAATCAACCGTCCCAAAGAACACAGCAGTTTATTATTTTAGAATTAATTCTAACCTGTCTCATGAGAGCATGATTAAGGGCGAGGTGAAACAAGACTTCGCTGTCGTCAGGATCCAAGTTGTGCCCCTTGTGTAACAGACAGAGAGAAAATGCAAGAATGAGATGTGTTTGTTTCACACTCAAGACAAATATTTCATGACTTGGTTCGTTCAACAGACGAACTCAAAATTTAGCATCTCTCTCATTTTCAACAGGCTCTCCTTCGAAGTGGCCGCCATATGTGTTACCCAGATTAAGAAGTAAAATAATTATCATTTGCAAAATTTAAAGGATGAGTTGTGAAAAGGCCACTAGAGGAAATCATGGGGGAAAATCAAATTTTCCATCATGATACTTACTTTCAAAGAACATCAATTGCTTGTTTCTGAAGTTGTTCACGTTCTCCTCTTAAACAAGCTGCAAGAAGGTACATAAATTTATGACACTAACAACATCCTCCCTTTAGATACTTTAAACCATTCACTGATAAATGCCCATAAAAGGCACACCAATCCACATGAAACATAGCTCCTTTGGTCATCCTCGATTTCTCTCTCAACTTCTACACCTCTATTAGGCGGTCACTTCTATAACACCCTTAACTGATTCCCAATGGCCTGTTTCTATTCTCCACCTAAATTCAATGGTCACTTCAAGTTGAACCATTCAAATAAAACTAAGAATAATCTTTCAAGTAAGATTTAATATATGTTTACCTACCAAAATCAATGTAAGTAGCATTTTTGAGCAAGTTTTTGTACAATTGTGGTCAATTATGGGATAGATTGGCACTTGTTTTTTTTATTTTTTTTTTTTACCATACCCTTATTCTGGGGAGCCCGTATCAACCCTTTTCCCCCTAACATCAGTTTGGATATTCTCCATACTGCTCTCCATACATTTCCTGAAGTGCTTACAAGGAGAATTTGTTTAACAATCAAGAGCTCTATAAATTGGTGATCATTTCCTTGATTCTCCTGACCTTAATGTTTGATTCAGGGGTGATATTGTTACGGGAAATTAGAAGCTGGTCACTGTTAGGGGCTAAAGGGTTAAGTGGTTGACTTGTATTAAGCAGTTACCCCACCATTCCTTGTGGGTGACTGCTTGATGCACGTTCAACTGACTGGTGCCCCAAGAAAATCATTGGAAATAGAAAATTGTAAGTAGGTTTTCACCTTTCTGATGCAACAAAAGATGATGTAATGTCTTATCTTTTTTTTTTCAAGAACCATGAATGGTCTAGTTTACGCCTTTTTTCGACCCCTACATATCCTGTCAAATCCCTGGTCAAAACCTAACCATGGCTGTTCAAGAACAATATGTACATTTCCAAACAATAAAATAACCAGAAATTCATCATGCTAAAAAGAATGGTTTACAAACCATGTTTAATTCAGCTGTTAATTGACAGGTCACTTTAACTTTATTCATGTGGACATTAAAAGATCTTTAATTGTAAACCAAATCATGATTCACAAGAAAAAAGTTGCCCAATCACACTTCATGTCATAAGTACCTTGTTCTAAATGTTGTTGTAGGTTAATGGTTTCCGTGCAAAGTTGCAACACTGCAGAGCATTGTTAGACAAGATACCTGGGATAGAAATGAGCTGTGAAGAACAGAAGGAACTTTTAATTAAGTGTAAAACCCAATACACCAAAAAATGGTAAGTACTTACTCAGTAAAGCTTGGAGGAAGTAACCGTACAGTCTAACTACCCTGTATTTTTCAACCTTTTCTAAGTAGCTTATGGTTTTGAAGGGGTATAATGTGCTTTTTCTTGAAGTCAACATTGAAGAACAAAATAAAGATGTTTTGAGAGCAAAAGGGATGAAGGGGCATGGGGCAAGAGTGATTAAACCAATAATATTTTATTTTAGGGGTTCAGAAGAACAGGGAAAAGTTTTGTAAATCAAAACAGCAAAATTTCCTAATCATTTAGATTCTTTCTTCATCCATAATCAGTTTTGAACATAATGCTTTTCCTGTCATTTGACCCTTAAGAGTTTGAGCCAAATGAGACAATCTCTTTAGCTATGAATAAGACACAAAACAAAGCGTTTTTCTGAAATAAGCGTAAACTGCATAGAGGTTTTTACCTTGGGCATTTCTTGAATGCTTGGCAAAAACAAAAGAGGACAAGTGAGGTTAGTCACCGCTTATTTCTGCAAATAAACTAGGTATAAGGATATGCTTTTTTCAGATTTCCAGAGGTATTAGATAGTGTATGTGCTTCACATTCCTAACCTGCTATTCTCATATACACTCCCCTCAGAGTCGGTTCAAATTTATCAAATTTTCATGAAGCATGACTATAATGGACTGTGCTTATGAGCTTTACTGTGTGCAAAAGTGGTGCATATGGCCTCTGCAACATGGATCCTTTTATTGAGATTTCTTTGATAATAAAATACACACCCCATGCACATTTTAGGGTTTGCAAAGCACCTGAAGCTTTTCCTTCTCTGTGTATTATTTCAACAGTGAGCTGCTGAGAAATTACAGAAATCTACCAGTGTTTGCAGAAGCTTTTGTCAAGGAGACAAAATAGTTGAAATTTTGTGATGTCAAAAATACTAGTTGGAAGATGCAGAGGTTAAAAAACAACTGAGGATGCCTTTGTGCTGTTGGAAGGAGACTTCATTCCCTTGGAATGAGAGAAAATTCCTGCCTCTAGAGAAGAGTACTTGATCATTCTTTTTGTTATCAGGTGGGGGAATGTTTGCTTCACAAACTGTGATTAACCCTGGTGTTTATTAGACCAACCCTCAATCAGACTGCACAGTCAACCTCTTAAATGCAGACTTTCCATTTTCACCAATACTTTCACCTCTAAGCTTATTCCATATGACAAACAGGTCTGAAAGAAAAATCTTTCTGGAAATCAGATTGAAATCACTTTCAATAAATTTTTGTCAAAAATTATATATTCTTAACTTTGATCAATTTCCCTGTAAGCTTTGCCTTTTTTTAGAGTATAACTAACAACCAATGTTCTTCTTCATTACTTTTATTCACTCCAAAGAAAACATTATGTAAGTTGAAATTGATAGTACCACTGTTTTGACTGAGGAAGAAGTAAATACAGAGACATACTGAGGAACTATGTAGAATTTTCTCTTTTGAAAAGATGATGTATCAACAATCATCTATGCCAATCAGATGTAGGTATTGGTAACTTACTGCCGTTCTGCAAGCCCCAGAAACATATCTGTGTGCCTCCTCGAACGTTTTGGAAATGTCATTCATTTCACAAGATTTTATAAACAACACTTTCCATCAAAAAAGCAGAAGGAACAGGTCATCATGTTTTGTCAACTATTAAAAATATCTTTTGAATTTTGCTCTGGCTCTGGGTTTTTTTTGCCACCCATTGTATTTGTTCCTCTTGTAGGGTACTAGTTCAGTTGTTTTGAACACATGCTTAGAGATGTAGGATCTGATTATTTCCTGGATGTCATTGCATGAAAAGATAACATTTTGCTAGTACTCTGTTCATGTGATGGCATTCAGGAAATAATGAGATGTATCTATTGAAATATTTTTGACAGTAGATGATTGTGAATATATGAAAATCATATATGTGAACTGTGGATAAAGACATGAATATGAAAGCGATCTTCACAGTAATGAAAATAAGAGCAGTAATGAAAATAAGAGCAGTAATGAAAAAAAGAGCAGTAATGAAAATAAGGCCTGAAACAAATTCAGGTCTGTACATGATTTGAACCCATGACCAATGTAATGACCAAGAGAATTTTGTATTGGATCAACTAATTATCCCCAAATTGATATTTTTCTTTGTTCTTATCACTTATCTGGTTGATGTTGTAGGGAGAAATTCTGTCTTGGTTACTCATAGGAGTTAAAAGGGTAAGCTTAAATCTATCATGTTCCTTCAAGGTCCACCAGTGGAATACAGAGGGAAGCTAAGTTAATGCTTGTGAGGTCAATTTCATCAAAAGAAAAATACATTTTTACGAAGCTGTGTTACTTTTCCAAACAAGCTTGCAATATGAAGGGTTGTTTTTGGTCGTCTAAAGTTGGTCAGGAATTTGCCACAAACTAAATGATGCGGTGTTTAGGCTTTCAGGGAATACCCAACCACAAGTTAGACCTTCAACAGGTAGCTTGGAAAGTTAAACCATCAGCAGTGTTGAATGGAGTCTTCCCAGTAATTTCTCCTTTGATAACATTCCGGAGTGAGTAGACTAACATTACCTTGGGCAGGAAGTGAAAAGCAGTTGTCCTAAATAAGATAATGGTTTTAGGGTGAAAGAGGTCTACCTTGTGCTGTTTTTATCATGGTGCACTGTAGAAATTCTTACCCCAGATTGGTGTTGGGTCTAAGTATTGTGTTCTCAGAACTTCATTACTTTTCTCGTGTGTTCCAAATGGTGTTAATTAACACTTGTTCAATTCCAAATCAACCATATCATCCTCTCTGGTTAGGCCCAAATTTTCTCTTTGGTTGTTGTCCCAAACTGTCACTTTTAATTGAGTCTTCATCGGTAAAAGACAAATTTCTTGATGGATTGTTTCCCAGTTTGGTATTCCACTTAGTCCAGTTACTTTCAATCAGCATTATCCTTACAACCTTAAAATCATTTCATAAGCCTTTGCAGTGAATTAATAATCAAATATCAGAATAAGAGGATTTTTTTACTAAGTATAGTATTGTTTAGTGTGGCATAACAGAAGTGGTGTCTTTTTTATTCTTGTGATCATGAACTTATTAAAGCTTTCTGTTTCAACTAATGAATTCCATCTGTTTTATGCCATTCTGCTCTGGGATAAAGTTACAATTTTTTTCCTTTACTCAAAAACGAATTTGAACGGCAAGTCCTGGCAAGAAATATTTGAGAAAGAGCTATCCGCGTTTGGAGACACAACCTAGGCTTCAACCCAAATGAGCCCCTCCCCTCTGTCCAATCCCCAGAAAACAAAGCCCGTAGAATAATTCTCTCAATACCTACCAGTTTATGATGAGGCAAGGAAACAGTGCTGATAACGTTCAAAGGAAAGCAAGCCACAATGCTAGCAGAATACTAAAAGGTAAATTTTCAAGCGAACTAATCTTAGTGTTTATTTCATTCTATTTACTAGATTATTAGAATTTTACAAAGTTCTATAAATCACTCTAAACTACAAAGAATCACTTTTTAGGCTCTTTATAATTAACGTTAATATTAAAAACTAACTCTAGTAAATATAGACTTGAAAACATTTTCCCTCGACGAGAAAAAAATGCAACGACACCTTATGGCTCTGACATGGCAAAAACATACGACTGTGATCCTATCATTTCGGCCAAGTACAGAATATCGAGAACTCTTAGAAAGGTCTTGGTCGCCTCATGAGGTAATTTTGTGTCTGTTCGGTTTACGGAAACAACTCCAAGTTGGCCGTGCAAGATTTTTTCTTGGTTGTAAACACTACGACTTAGAATAAAACGAAGGATGACTAGCGAGAGTTGTAAAAAAACTTACAAACTGATAAAAACATACTGTTCGTTACCTTATGAAACCTTTTATGAAGAGAGCCTTGTCACTACAGTGAAATATTGCTGGTAAAAAATTTGAAATACTAAACAACTAGGATGCTTTAAAGTTAGCGATAAAACTAATTATACTTACAAAACGCCAATTTCTCTTCAATTAAATATGTGAATCATGTTAAGCAACATTGGTCCACTTCAGCCAAAATTTAACGTCGCACTATGAGACAAAGATGTGCTGATAGTATCTTTCCATTTAGCCAGCCTAAATTTTTCTGAGTATTTTTAAGATTCCGTTACCTAAAGTAAAGCAGTACATTTTGAACAGTATCCGGAGGGTTAGACAGTCTCAGAGACTGAATGAAAGTAATCAACAGTGATTATGGTCCAACAAACTGTTCTAGTAATTCCAAAACTTCTGTGGCCAGTCTGAACGCTTCCTGTGCTTGCTGAGAATCTTGAAACACCTCAGCAGGCACTTTAGCAGGCATATGCCCGTTAGGATATCGAGTGCCCCCGTAATAGTCAGACAGCTTGGCTACTTGCGGTGTCACATCTGGAGCTTCAGGAAGCAGTGAAAGATCATTAGCCAATAGCACCAAGTCGTGAGATTTCAGTTGCCTGTCCGCGACTCCTGATAGAGCGTAAAGAGCTGCTTTGAGAGATTTCTCCGCGATTTGATGACACTGGAAGCAGACAAGGTAATAAAGTGGATTTCGGGCAGTCAAGAGAAGTTTTACGGACCGCAGGTCTTCTTTGCTCTGACGAATCCACATCTTCGCTACGCGTGGATTAGGTGCCGTGTAGGTCCTTCTCGAGTGTGATGCGAAACCTGTAAATCGTGGGTTGTGGCGGCGGTAGTTGTCGTAGCTTGAGCGCTGTCGTCGAGCTCTTTCATTCCACCGCTTGAAAAAGTCCGAAAAATCTGGTGGCGATGGTCTTGGATACCCTTCATCGCGGCTTGACGACTTTCCTTTTGATAATCTTTCGACCTCATTTTGGATAAACTTCATGACTTCATTTGCAATGTCTTGCATGTCCATATTCTTATCCGGATGCCATCGAAGGTATAGTCGCTTCATTGCTTTCTTCCTTTTATCTTCAGGAAGCTTCCAAATTTCGGCAAGTTTCTTTCGGACTTCTCTTGTGGCGGCGTCCAATGTCCTAGGCTTAGGTTGCTCACCACAGTCCTCCTTACTTTGTGGTGTCGTTGAGCATCCCGTCCCCTCTGGTTCTGTATCCTGTCGATCAGTTCCCTGGTGAGGTACGAGTTCCGTTGTTTCTGAAAAACATTCTTCTTCTGCTTCGTCATCTTTTTCCTTAACTGTTTGTCGTCTCCTTATCTTGTACAGATCCAGTACATCGACTTCTTTCTTTACATGGCCTACGTCAATAAGATATCTGTCGAGCAGCTTACTCTCCTCCTTTTGCTTTCTTTTCGTTCTGTCCTTTTTAGGTTTTGTTTTAGTTGTAACCTTGTTCACAATTTTTGCATAGATGTACTTCGGTTCCTCTTCTGTGAAGTCATCTTTTTCATATGCAACAAATTCTCCTTTCCGAAAATAGAAGTCACCGTACTGTTCTAGAAGGTGATGAAACTCTCCAGGCACTTCTGTTCCAAGATCAGGCTCTCGGTTTGGCGTATCAGTAGTATCCACATCTTCGGAGACTCCAGCCTTGTCCAATGTGGAAGAAATGTATTCAGGTGACTCACATTCTAAAATATCAGCCAAATACAACCAGCTATCTTTGTCGATGTAGCATCCTGTCAATTGATTTATCTCTTTGCAGAGAACCCTGCGCACGTTTCTGGGATCAACACCATGTTTGATGAATATATGCTTTATGCCACCTTCATCCCTCTCCACAAAACATTCTATTTTCTTTGATCTTTGGCTGCCTGAAATCGGTGTATTTGATCTGTTTTCGACTAGCTCGGTGGCCAGCATTTCCATGCAACTTATTTTGAGTTCGTTTTGAAATCTGCGTACTTTTCCTCGGACTTCGTCATTCAATTTGGCTTTCTGAAATTGATATTTTAAAATCCGTATCATACCATCCACAAACTTAGGGGAAAACAGTATGTGACGGAGGCGATTGGTCTCGTGACATTTCTTTTCCACATCAGCACGGCACTTCTTTTCTCTGCAGCCTAAGTGCAGCTCTTCCCTCACCAGTGCTGTTATGGATGGGATCGTCAAGTGAGCTGGCAGAAGGTCGACAATTTGCCGAGGAGTAGCGAACGTCAGGTTGTACTCTTTTAATAGATCTAGGTGCTTATACATGGCAATTGGTATACGGGATATATACCCAGGAGAATCAAACAGGACCAAGTCTACAGATCTTTCGAGCTTTTGTTTGCGGCTTGGAAGGTACAGACGTTCGATGTTAGAGAGAGAATTATTAGCTGGCTCACCTTCATTGTTGTCGCCTTGTAGGGCCTTTAGAGTCGTAAACAGGCCGTAAACAGCGTGTTTTGCAATACTGGATTCATTGGGATGCATTTTCTCGTCTGAACATGAGGCGTTCAGGTTACTGAGTACTTTGGCGAACTGTTCCGGTGTGGCTTCCTCTACGGCTCCAAGTCGGAGTAGCAAGTGCTGAAAATATCCATATTCCAGCGGAACTTTATATAGATACGGTGCCAACTGCTTATCAAGGTGGAAGGCAAGTTGGTCACCACGAACAAATACGCGGCCATCTTCAACCAAAACACATGACTTATCAGACAAACGCTTCCCAATTTCATGGCACTTTAGAGAGCAGGAGTTGAGAGAGTCGCTTTCCTGGCACCCGCTTATACGTCGAAGGAACGTATACACCTCAGTCATGATATCACCCAGAAGGCGACGCTTTTGTTCCGGTATTTCTCTATCAATGTCCTTCAGAACATTCTGTGAGAGTGTGGTGACGTGATTGATGACTTGATCCAGCGATGGGTGTGGGAGAACTCCAAGGGCTCCAAGCTTTGCCTCTTCAGCATTTGGAACAGCCCAATCTGGTAGAAGAGGCGCAGTTGTCCAGACAAGTCGCTCCTCCATTTTTGATATTGAACCGTGGAAATGAATGAATGGAAGTGTCCCATCTTGCACTTGTTTAGCGCATGGGTACTGCTTGTAAAGAGAAAGAAGGTTATCACTGGCCTTTGACGATGCTACAAACTTTATCATAGAGAGTTGTCGTAAAAATTCCGCTTCATGAAAGGATTTTTCATTCAGAAGATGGGTAACGAGAGTTTGAGACTTTTCCTCCAAAGTACTACGAGTTTTCTTGCTCATGTTCTCTGCATGTTTTGCAACTTCCTTTGAAAACTCTAGAAACTGATCTCTGCTAACTTTTCTCTTTAATCCAACTTTACAAAGGAGATCTAGCCAACCGGATTTCTCATTAAAAGGTTCCGGTGGCTTTGCATCACGTGGTAACATAACTGCAAAAACTTTCACGCGTGGATCATAAAAATAAGATGCAGTTCGCAGTGACCCATTGGTGTCGGGAATAAACTCCAAAGTTTTAAGTGACTGTAGGACTCTAGTGTGTTGATCTTCATTGAAAAAGGGAGCCAGCAAGAATCGTCTAACGTAGTTAAGATGAAGCATACGAGTTTCCTCCTTAAGAGATGGAAATTTGGGGAAAATGAAGTTGATGTAGCAATCTGCGTGAGTTCTGGAACTAACATTTAGAACTTCATCGTACAAGTGGTCCAGCTTTGGGTTAGGTGCTAAGAAAAGGCAATTGTTTCCTTGCATCCAAACATCGCACTCGTCAGTTGGTAAACCCTCCGAGATAACATATACTGATTCAGCATTTTCAAGAGAAACAAATGTTCCCTTGAAAGTCTTGAAAAATGGCAATCGCTTCAAAATTGAAGTCGATAATCGGTCCTGTTTCAGAGAGATTGTATCATCTTGAAAGAACTGAAGCAATAAAATCATTTCATCACTAGAAAGATAACCAGAAATATCGTCTTCACTCATCAAGTGGTCTAGCACCTTCAGAATGTCTTGCGACGAGTTGGGGTACGAAAGGTGCTGTTTAAGTACTGGTGATAGATCCCATCTTCTACCACTGCTGATGAGCTCGACATCCACCTCCGGGCATCGTAGCTTCCTCAACAAAGCGACGACAGTTTTTTGGCCAAACGACCAGGAATCGGATGTTGTCAAGTCAAGAATGACTTTACCTTTTGAAAGAGGGGCTAATTCTTTCAATTCTGTTGGAAGAATGGGCCATTTATGCAGTGGAGTTAGGGAAAAGGTATCCGGGTTCTTTTCGTGTGCCTTGAACAAAAACTCCCACAGACGCTTTAACCATCGTTCGGTGGGCCCGTCCTTCGAATCCCATGGAATGAGACTTTTGGTTTCACACCAACTGCCTTTTGCAATACTCGGAAGGAGCGAGGCTAATGCACAGATGTCGAATTTTTTGAGAACCCCTTGATCCCCCTCAAATATTTGTTTTTCGAATTGAAGTAACGGTTCGACGAGTACGTGGTGGATAAATCTAGAGCGTTGATTTGGTACCAAATCTGCAAAGCGGCTCAGAAATACTTGGTTATCCATCTGAAATCGCCTAAGAAAATCGTCTTCAGTCAACAATAACGGGATTCCAAATATTTGTTTTGAAAAGTTAGGGGCCTTCATGCAATACTCAAGGAGGAGGAGCACATTAGCCACAGAACCAACTGTCGTCTCACTTACAGGGCAGGGTAGTATACCTGCGGAGTTTGGATTCCTTTCAAGAAACTTAATAACTCCTGCAGGCGTGATCTCTCTCACATTTGCTCCTGCTGTTTTGAATTCGTTGAAGAGTTTGTGGGAAGAGTAAACAAGTTTGAAGCCAATGTTCAGGAGAACTTTTGAAAGATCTGTGGCTGATTCAGTACTAAAGGACAAGGTGTTGAAGTACCCTTGTGAAGGAGACAACCAAAAACATCTTATGGGCTCTTTACAATCAATAACATCACCTTTGGCGGCCCGAGAATCATCAAGAGGTTGAATGCTTTGTGAAGCTTTGGCACTTTGGGGAGTTGGCGAGTTTTTACCAAAAGGTCTCTTCGTCAGCGGCAATAACTCTGCATCTTCTTCGCAAATCTTGTTGAAAACAGCTTTTGCTAGAGCTTGCCACTGGCTTTGGACAGTATCAAAATGGGGAAAAAGGTTATGATACCATCGCATTCCATCATGAACCTTGAATTCTTTAGAGAAGCTGGTGGTTTCCCCCTTTTTGGAGCCAGGAAGGTGATCTCGTGCCTCCAACATCAACGAGATATACGCTTGGGCCAACACTTTGCTCATTATGAAATGATTCCATTGGCTTCCGAATCCTTCTCCCTTTTCATCGCTCCATAGATTTCGACGGGCGGAATCCAAAAAGAAATGCCCATTTACATGAACTGGGAGCCCTGTGCGTCCTGGCAATGGCAAGAAGCAGAAAGCCTTGAAGGTTGTGCCACGTCCTCCGTGGGAATAGAATTTTGACTTTTCAGACACCTTGGCTGATATTCCTCCGCGAGGTAGGAGACCATAATCTCGACCGTTAGGAATCTCGTCACCATCACGTTTCTGGATTCCAATGCACTGATGGACAAGCCATTTTTCTTGTCGTTCTTTACCCTCGTGAACAAAAAGAGGGTATGTGATTCCAGACCATTGAATTTCATTTGTATCTAGGAACTTACAATTCTTGATATGATTCGCAAGCTTCAGGCGTTTCGCTTCATCTTCGTCTGTTAGCAGTACAGAAACTGAGTGTATTTCTTTCAGCTTATCGTCTTTAATTTCAGACAGTGATATTTTCTTCACATGGTTCAAAAAATGGAGAATCTCTTTTGCTTCAGAGGCCAAATGGTTCATAAATCCGTTCATTTGTGTGCAGGAGATCCGCTGTTCAGATATTAATGACTCTGTGCGCGTAATTTGGAGTCTAAGAGGAAAGCGGAACATAGTTGAAGATTTTAAATCAAACATGTCTTCCAGATAACAAGGAAATATATCCCTGAAATCGGATCGCTCCTCTTCACCTATTGGTTCGATGAGACGTCCAGGATTCTCCTTGTCTGCTCCAGGAGCGTAACGATAATGAGGGTCGAGAATGCAGAGCGTGTCTCCATTCGAAATGAAGCTTGGACAGTCCGTTAAGTGGTATACGGCGTTGAAGCCGATACCATACTGTCCTGTCTTAGTAGGATCGTTTACTTTGCTACCAATTCCCAGCCTTTGTATCCCCTCTAAATCATCTTTGGAAAAGGGTCGGTTGTTGTAAACACACAGGGCAGGACCTTGCAGTTCCTTCCAGTTGTCACTTAGAAGTTGGTCGGTGTTGTGGTAACGAGGGTCAAAAATGAAATGCACCTCGGTGGCCCCTGCATCATCAGTATTCTGAACAAGTTCCTTAAGGACTCCAACATCGCATGGATATGCCTTCAAAATGCCTTTTAAGCGATCAGTAAGCTCTTCTCGCGGTCCAAATTCTTGTCCGATTGGACGAGATATTCTGGATAGTTTCTTTGTTCGAATATCAATTGCCCCAAGCCTGTGTGCAAGGTCAATTGACAAGTCCTTGTGAACATAGTCGATGTCACTTCTAGCAGCCACCCATGGTGCATCATTAATGGCTAATTTCCCAGCGGGCTGTAAACTCAAATTATGGTCTGGGAGAGGAATCTTACCTCTTTCCGTTTTAAAGGATTCCTCTGAGGCTTCCGATATCTTATTGATCAAAGATTTTGAAACTTCAAACTCTTTCGTAGATAGACGCTCTCCTTGTTTCTCCTTATCGAGCTCGTAAAGCGCAGAAATGACGTCTTCGGTAGAAAAGCACTCTTTGACGCCTGTCGCCTGAAATAAGGTACGATACTTCGACGCAAGGTTCTGTGGCAATTCGTTCAGGTAAGGCTCACCAAATCGCTTCCACGTGAAAGCCAGCCGAGAGGCCGAAAGACACTTTCCTTGAACCAGTATCCATTTCTTTTCTTGCAATGCATGTATAATTCGCTCGCCATCTGGTTCCAGAAGATCTTGTAAATATTCGTATATGCAATAGAAGATGTGTTCCAAACTTTCGATCGCATGGGGCGACTGGACTATTGCTTGAACTGCATGCTCCAACTGGCCAAGAACCTCATGGGCCGATGGTTTACGGGAGTTGAAACCAAAAAGATGCCGTGTTTTCTCGCTTAACCTGCTGCAGCCACTCTCACTTTCATCAACGATTGGCTGAGAGGATCCTGCGACAAACTTGTACCTATCGTCGTACATTTCTTTCGCCGGAAGGATAACACTGTTCCAATCACCAGTACCTCTCCATGGCATAGCATAGTTTGCTGGCTTAGCAAGAGTAGGAAACATACTGGTTGCTATCAATTCCTCTATATTCAATTCTGAAGGGGGATCCATTTTCTCAAGGTGGACATTAATATACTTGATGAGAAGGGTAGATCTCGTCCTAGCATCTTGTTCGGCTCTTCTACAGAGCACCGACACAGAGTTTGCTCGCTCAATCAGGGTTTCCCAGTCAAGAATATCTGATAACATTCCCAGGTTTTGAAGCATGAGAAGACGTTCTTTAGTTTGATAACATGACCCAAATGGGAATCTCTTATCGTCTGCTGAGAACAGAGTCGCAGCGGCACCTTTTGGGGATATCAGACCTTTGGGAAATGCCAAATGCCCCGTATCTGGCCCACAAGGAATACAGCGATTAGTTGAAAGCAAAGATTCGTATAGATTGAGAAGCTGATTGGACCGATTGCCAGCATGCCCTCGAAGACATTCATCTATGAGGTAGCACACAATGGGATCCCGAAGCTCTTCGGGTATTGTGGTGATATTCGGGAAAAAGACGTCTTGGAGAAACTTTTCTTGTGTCATTGTACGTTGGTCGATAACTTCAATACACCCAGCTAGTTGAAATCCTTTCTTTGCAAAGTGTGGAAGTTGCACTATTTTGTAATGAAACGTTTCAAGGACCATCTCACTATTCGGAAGCTCCTGTAACTTGAGGTCTTGGTAAATGCATTGAGTCACTGGGAGCCATTTCCCTCCTGTGTGCACTAAGGGTAGGTCATAACTTACGATTCTTCGATAAAAGCTCGTGATGAGTGGTTCCCATGCGGATGATTGAAGTTTGTCTGGATTTGGCCAGAGCATGAAAACATCGCACAATGAGATTTTTCCTTGTTTTTGCATGAAAATCATATTTTCCAAGAGCTGAACATAGGCCTGAGTCAACGCATCCTCCATGAGGCTTTGGTTCCAGCGCACTTCTAAAGGTTGACGGCCGACATCGGCTGTAGTACCTTCCCAGATTCCTCGGCGGTTTGATGTGACTGCAAAGTAGCCATTAGCATGTACTGGAAGCCCTGTTGGAATACTTAGGGGAAGGAAACAAAACATTTCTCCAGGTATTGCCTCTACTTTTTGGAAGCCACCGCCTTGGGTGCAAATTTTTCCTGCCACTCCTGAGGCAGATAAGAGTCCTTGCTTCTTGCCCTCCTCACTTGTTGCAAGCTGAAAGGAATTTTCAGTACCAAGACAAGAGGTCACAAGCCAAGACTGGGTTTCTTGACACCTTTCTTCATTCTTACGAGAGATGGTGGAAATCACGGATATGAGCTCAGTCAGTTTGGGAGATGGATACCTGGCAAAAGGGTTGGACTGACTAGTGGACTGTCTTGTCCATGCTGCGCATGACTTAAGAAAGGTACCTTCCGTTTCAGAATTCTCAACCAGCATACATTCTGTCTGACTTTTTCTGCAGATTTCAAACAGGAGTCGCGAGTCTTTAGAATCAGTCACATTTTCATCCACTTCAAGGAAGGACACCTTTCTAACATTCTGTGAAAACAAAAGAAGGGTCGGTGATGATTCTCGGAACGAAAACATGAGGGACCGTATTTCCTTCTTATCGTAGATCTTATCACTGATTTGGCCACGCTTAGTTCGAAATGCAAATCTGAAGAGAGTCCCTTGAAAGAAGAACTTGTCATTATCGCTGGGTGGAGTAGTGTCACAGCCAAAAAGCCCATTGAAGGGTGCAAACTGGTCAGGAAAACAGGTTAAACTGTTCTTGTTAACCGCCAGATCTATCTTTATTCCCGGCTTTGATGCATCGCTTATGTGGGAGCCAAGATGTGTTGTTTCTGGATCAAAAAAGACAGCATAACTTCTGGTAATGAAACTTGGAACATCAGTAAAGTGGTAAACGGAACTAAAACCAAGACCAAAGCGACCAATCTTTTCAAGATCTTCCTTTTTCGTGGCACCTGCCAGTCTAGATATATTCTTCAGATCATCATCTGTAAAGGTTGCATTGTTGTATGCCAACAGGGCGGGACCTTGGCATTCTACCATTCCCGGTGACAAAAGCCTCTGGTTTGGATGATTGCGCCAGTCAAGAACGAACTGAACTTCTGTTGCACCAGCATCATCTGCATTCTGCACTAATTCTTTAAAAACACCAACCCCTTCTTTGTACTCGTTCAGAATATTCTTCAGCCTCGTGGTAATTGGCTCGTGAGGACCTGTTTGCTCGATACCTAAAGCCTCTGCACAAGCGACACGGTTGCTGATTGGTGGAACACCAAGCAGAGCAGCGGTTTTGGAAGATATAGCCTCGTGGATCATCGGAAATTCGCTTGTGATGAGAAGTTCTGTCCCTCCTTTTCTAAGCCACTCCGCGTCACAAAAGGTACACTCCGAACACGGAACCAACTTTAAGGTATTATCCCAGGTGTGAATGGGCACCAGAAGACTTTCTCGAAGTTCTGGATTGAGTTTCTTTCCATCCCTAACTATCCAGTGGAGAATCTCATGTGACAGCTTTCGATCATCCTCCACATCTTTTAGATAGTCACTGCTAGTATCATGTTTGTCTTTTATCATTGTCAGAACACGCAACAAATCGGAATCTTGAAACTTTTTACGAACACTGCATCGCTGGAAGAAAGGGTTGAGGGGTTGAAATTCTTGTGGAACTATGTAAAGGTAAGGCCTCAAATCGATTCTGCAGAAAGATGTACATGCTATCTTAGACGGTGATGAAAATCCATTCCCATGCCAAATCCACTCAGGAAAGCTGTCATCTTGATTTAAAGCGTAGATGAAGCCAACATTGCTGGATGCTTCTTCGTAGATCTGTTTAACCATCGCTTGAAAATGATACAGCGCACTCCTGTTCACGTCATTCAATTGTACCAAACAAGCAGAACGCAACTGGTTTAGAAGGTGGTGGACAGGTGGCGATTTGTCCCAACCAAAAACAGCCTCTAATGCTTTGGAACAAGGTTTGGAGACTATTGGAGCTGAAGCTCCTACAAGAGTAGCTTTCGACTGGCTGAACGTTTCAGACGGTTTGTATAAGTGCTTTGTTCCTGAAAACCAAGGCATCGCACTAGGATAAGAAGAAGGACGACTCTGCTTTCTTGGGACCCATCTCTCATTCATCAGTGTTTGGCCTAAAGACTTGTCAGGTGGGTTTTTGTCAAGGAACTCTAACAGGACTGATGCTTTACGGGATCCCACATCGCTTTGAACCTTATCTACTGTTTTAGCAACATGTAGAATGTCCTCTTTATTTGGAGTACTCCTCATTCCAAGCTTCTGAAGAAGTGGAAGGATTTCCTCTTTGACGAAACTTTCATGTGGAAATTTGTCGTTTTCGCTCTCAAACAGTTGCTCCAAAATGGGTTGTTGTGGATCTAGAACGCAACATGGAGTAACTAACTTATTACTCCTGGTGAGTACAAAGGACAGTTGTTGAAGAGATGCATGAAATGAGCTGTCTTCCCCGCAAAAAAGGGAATACTGGCTAAGTACCCAGCACATCAGCGTAGAGATCTGTTGGTGATTATAGAAATTGCTCTGTATGCCACTAAAGACAACGTTCCTTAGAAAGGTTGTTTTTGTCATCGGTGAGATTCCAAGTCTGTGAATTAGGGTATGAGATTCGCTATCTCTTAAGGCAATGACCAAGGACGCTCTTGGTATTGGCAAGGATTGAGGAAGTTTGAAGTCATAGGGTGACACTCCATGAAATTGAAATCCATTTCTGACAGCAATGAAGGAGTATCCATCTGCTGCATCAAAAATAGGAAGGTCATACAGGAGGTTTCTTTGATCACCACTTAAGGACGCAGAAGAGAGGAAACTTCGTAGCGCTTGCTTCTCATCGGGGGAACAATGTGTAATTGTTGATATGCACCTGCCTTGACCCAACGTGCAAAAGATCTTTAGGACGCCATGGGAATCAGGTGTGACAACGTATCTATTTAGGGTGCTGTGATGAATGTACGATGGAAGACTTTCTAGAACAATGCAGCCAACTTTTCCAAGCAAAGACACAATAAGTGGCGGTAAAGAGATACCCTGGTAATGTCTTCTGATAACCACGCTTGATGAACTCAACTTCACAATGCTTCGGTTTCCAGCACATGTGTGCGGAATGAGCGGGAGGTTCTCGAGCAATGAGAGATCAGTGGGGAACATTCTCTGAATCCACATCCATACTGACTCCAACCAGCGCTCTGGTGG